TATATTATTTAATTATATTTTCCTTTCTTCAGAAGCGCAGTTGCTTGATTTTTAAATCATATACTCATATATATTTCAAAAGTTTCAACTAATGGGTTGCTTTAATACTTGAAAAATATTTAATTGTAATTTAATTCTATTGTGCGATGTCATTCATTTCTTCAATAAATGCAAATAAATAATTGACAAGTACACAATTATAAGCAACCTATTGAAAGTAAAAATATCAAATTCTCAGGAAAATACATGTGAATAAATAAGAAAAATCTAGTTTTTTCACTCAAACCTTCTTTTTGTACAAATATTCACCTATAATTGACCGACTAGAAGCTACATAAAGAATAATATTTTTTTTTCCATGAAAGTAAGTACCTTAATTGGATTGGGTAGTATAGGAAAGCATTATTAAAAAAATGTTTTTCCTACCATTAAGTCCGTAATATCTGTGGCAATTAAAAAACCAAACATTCTTTTTTATTTTCGGAGCGCAAATTAAACGGAAATCGAAACGATTCTATACGCGCAATAAAGTACTGAAGTGCCCATTTTCAAATTCCAACTGAAACAATGATGCAATTTGGTCGCGACGAAGTAAAACGCACGCGAGCGCACGAAGCGAGACGAAAAGAAGAAGAAGCAGCCGCGTGCATTCTGCAAACGACGAAGAGGCACGAAGTGCGAATTGCGCGCGGGATATGAAGCTCAATAAAAACAAAGCGCATCAATAAAGTCGGCAGAGATGACGAAGAAGAAGACGGACAGCGTGAGCGCAACAGCAAAGTTCAAAGCTCTTTTGATATGCGAAAAGGACAAAAGACGGAGCAGGCGAGAAACGCGCTTGTCGATCAAACGTCGTAACCGTCTGTAGCTAGCGAACGGGCGTCGGACGACGACGCGACGACGACGTCTCCATCAGGCGTCAGCCTCAAGGCTCTTTCTTATTTCTCACTTTTATTGCACGTCAGCCTCGCGCCCAGTTCGTCCATCACTTGCACAGCTCGAGCAGCCCTTTAGTTTGATTGCAAGCACGTCGTCGCCCTCGTTGCCGTTTCTATTGTCCGTTAAATTGAAATTCAACTTGCGCGCTTCACTTTCATTTCAGTAACACTTCCAGCGTACACTTCAAAGGAATTGCTTACGCCTCTACTTGAGTGAATGAAACTTGATCCTCGTAAATCAATGTATTTTCGATAATTATCGCATCGATCAGATATGAACGACCATTCATAAGAGACTTTTCGTGTACATTCGAAACAATACATAACAAAGAAGCAACAAAAGAAAGAAATCACGGTAACAGCATAAATCAAACTTTTTAAATCGAGCAAAAGTTCGAGTGAAAGAGAATCGCGCACTTTTGCGATGAATTTAAATTTCTAGGTTGTCGTGCACGTTGCGAAAAAATCTTATCTACTCACGAGTTATTAAAGCTAAACGTCAAATAATGGTCAAGCCTTATACGAAATGAAATACACTCACTCCCTCTGGTATCAAAAAAAAGAAAAGGAAAAAGAATTTTCGTTTTTTTTTCACGAGACTTCCATCAGCCAGAGCGAAATAAATGGGAAAGTCGCTTGAACTATACGCGGGAAAAAAAAGGAAAAACCGGATAAACAAATGAAAAAGAAAGAAAGAGAAACAGAGGTGAGAGTGGTAGAAGGGAGGGGAAGAAGAAGGTCGCGACACGGCGGCCTGATAAAGCAACAGCAGCAGCAGAGAGAGAGAGAGAGAGAGAGAGAGAGAGAGTCAGAGAGTATACGGATAGTTAGAGGACAGGCAGAGAGTATACGAGAGATACGAGTCGGCTGCTGCTGGTGCTTGGTACAACGTATGATTATCCGTCCTCGAGGGACTTCCGGCCGCCGTAGCAGCAGCAGCTACGGTTATTAGCCGTCGTTTTTATCTTCGAGCTCAATTAGCGAATATCATTCCGTAATGCAACGTGACGCGCGCTGCCTCTCTCTCTCTCCCTCTCTTCCACTCTTTTTTCTTTCTCTTTCTCCTCTGCGCTTTCTTCCTTTTATTTTTTGTTGTTGTTGCATCCCCCGTGTTGTTCGCTGTCGCGCGCGTGAGTGTTGGATTTCCGTCGATTGCTCGCAGGTGCATCAGGCCATAGCTGTTTTCCGTCTCCGGATAATGCGCCTTCGCCAATAATTACTGCTGTATGCTTTCTGTCCCACGAATTCACGCGATCGAATTAATGAAATAATCGACGATTCTTTGAGTGGGAGAACCAGCAGCCAAACCAATTATTGCCTATTTCACACGGATCTTCCAGTGTATAACTTTGTTCGGCGTGGGTGGACACCACATAAGTCTTTTCCTTCTCATTCGCCTTTCGTGCCTTTGTATGTTGTTTCCTATGACGAATTGACGTCGAATGTTTCTGATCCTCGTATCGATAAGTTAGCTAATTCTCTCAATCAACTAGACGTTGAGGGAACGATCCTTTAACAAAATTTACGGTTTTGATTCGATTGCTAAAAATCTACGCGAACAAAATCGCCAACAGACATCCGTTTATTTCTGCAATCGTCGCAGTCATAACTATAAATTGCAGCGATCTCGCGAAAGAAAATCCCTGTCGCGCACACATATCAATAACAATTCTCTCTCGCACATATCATTGAAAAGGAAAAAAAAAAGGTCGTCACGCTCAGCCTCGTCAATTCCATTCAGGGAACACGGATGTAGAAGCGTTATTTACAACGCAACAAGAGAGCGAGTCCGCGGGACGAGTGAGAAACGTTAATAAGTGATAACATTTTATACCTGTCGCAGTGCATCGCGTTCCCATGGTTCTCGTCACAGAGACGCGCGCTCGCGGTGCGGATTAGCCGTCGAGTGAGAGCTCGAATATAAAGTTAATTATAGACAACGCGAGCGATGGCTGTACGTTAGCTCTGCCGTGCAAATCCTGCGTTACGCTGCGCGGCAGTTACGCATTCGGCCACATAAATAACGATCGCCAAGCCATGCGCGTGCACGTGGATATGTCGCTGCATATAGATACACGCCGTCCGTACGTCGCGTATCTCTCGTGACAAGTTTGCCTCAATCACGTAAGGCACGCTGGTCGCGCGCTCGCGTTCAGCCGATGATTATTATTGGCTGCCTCCGCGCGCGGCGGGACGAAAAGAATAAAAAAGAATAAAGCGATCGGCATCAATATTCATAGCGGAGTTTAAATGCGCTATACTATCATCGATTTACGATCGCGAGCGCACGGCTCGCGATGTTTAATTAAACATCCATCCAGCTGAGCAGCGCCAGCAGCAGCTACTTGCGCCACTTTGTCTTCTTCTTGTTGTTTGTTTTTCCTCAGGGTCAATTAACATTTCTTTTTCTTTGGCGAGTGTGGGGTAATTTATTCGAGGGTGGACAATTCTTGTGTGTGACGGTTAATTAGTCAGGTAAGGAACGGCCAGCGACAGCGGGAAAACAATTAAAGTAAGGGGGCCCGCGACCATGCACAAAGGCCACTTTCAAATTAAGCGACTCAAAACGCATATATGCTCGCTTACAGTAGTCTTAAGTACCTCCGGTGGGCGGTTCGCGTGCTGCTGCTCCCCGCGAGCCTCGATTCTTCTTCGCGCGACGGATATAATGAGCTAAAAACGGATACTTCGACAAAAATAAACAATGGAGCTTCAATAATTGAATATAACGTCTATACGAATCGAAAGAAAGAAAGGATATAATACGTTTGACGAAAAGTGAAAAAGAAGAGGGGAGGAGGAGGTTGAAAGACTGGCGCGGTGGTCACTCAGTTCGATGTCAGCTCGCTAATTGGCAGCCGTGTCGCATAGAGCCGGTTTTACTGCTGTTGCTGCTGCTGCAAGAGGATGCCTTGTCGCGTAATTCGTAAGCGGCTCTTACTCCCTCCTCGTAACTCCCTACTATACCATTTTCTTATACGTACTCTCGATAATCCTTTTGCAACCTTATAGAGGACAATCCTCAATAAAATGTTGTTTTATACGTGACGTTTAGATGGTACATAGATTTTGCTATAAATTAATGAAAGAGCTCGAAAGCTTATATTTTATTATATCATAAATATTTGACGTGGAAATCTTAGCATTTTGAGATGATTGAATTTTCACGAAATCTGTGCTATTTCAGTTTTGTCTGCTGAATTCAAAATTCAACGATGCACCATTACTCGTTATTGAGATTGAAAAAAACAAGATCAAAGAAAGTATATATGAGTCGAGTGAAATTTGCGCCAATTAACAATTATTAAAAATTCCATGCTGCGACGTCAATTAAATTACAGTCCCGTAAACAAGCCGAGAGCAATTGCCAATTCTTTCGCCGTCATTAACCGTATCCCTTTCCTTTCTCCCGCGCGCGTGTGTCTTTGTTTCTTCTCGTACGATGTCACCTACAAACGTGGGCGAACTTCTGCGAGCATAAGAAACGACTTATACTGATGAGAATGGGAGGCTCGACTGCGATATCCGCGATGCGACCGTTGTCTCCTTGTCGACCCGTGTGTACTTGAGGGATATATAATGGCATGGCTACTGGGTGGTCGCGGTTTCACTTTACGAATTTGTTATCACAAGAGATAATGAATCATTTGCTTGATGGATAAAACCTCAAGGATTGCCTGGAGATAGCGAACATTAACTCCTTTAGATTTTATCGTCAGTTTGATTCTTCTTTGACTGATACTCTTGCGGATAAATTTACTGATCTATAGATCGTAGACTTGAGCACTCATGAAAGGAATGTCGAATGCAGCGCAACATTTCTCTATCTTTGATGAAAATGAGATTTTGTTTGTAAATCCTACCTCTACAGTAGGATTAACAAACTGTATTCTTCAATTTTCTTCCAAATTTCATAAGTATTGAAATTAGAAATACTGACAGGCATAAATGTATAATGAACGCACGTGTGTTTGTATAAATCGTATGTTATGTATTATATATACGTACACAAACTTGAAAACCTATCTAAAACAAACAGTCAAGCGATGTATCAGTCGCTGTTGAACTCTCAAAAGTGCTACTCACTAGCTAATTTATATTTTGATTTTGCGTTTATTATTCATATCGTGTAAAGTGCATAAATTCAGTGGCAGATTTTCCTTTATTTAAATTTTTCACGAGTAATATTTGAAAATAAAAACTTTCAGATAAAAATGAATAGTTCGAAAAGAAATATAGATACAAACCAAAGTGCAAATACTAATTTCACGTTTTCATTACCAATTTCGACTTTTGAAAATGTGAATGCAAACGTTGCAACAGTTGATAGGAAACGTAAAGCTACGTGGGAAGCTGGAGGTATTAATTCTGAATGTTAATGTTTTCAGTATAATGTAATTATTAGAATTAGCTGCCTTTTTTATTTAATTAGGACCTGCAAAAAAGAAGCGTACCCACTGTGACATTCAAGCAAAAAGGCAGCTTTTCAATACTAAAGCCATTAAGAAGAAAAAAAATAATTCTAATTTTACGGAGACTAAAAAAACGAAGGTAAATTTTGATTTAAGAGTAATATATGAATGAAAAATTTTATCATTTTTTATCATTCTTTAATAAGGTATTATTCCAAAAAATAATATATCTTGATGGTCATGAATTCTCATCTACAAATGCTGTCACTGATTACCAAGTAAATTACAGCGAGTTTCCATCAAAAAGCGGCAGAACCGATGACAAATTCAAAGTTACTGTATTAACTGAAAATGAAACTCCGACTAAAAGAGGTATTACAATTTTCGTTTTCATGGAAGTGAAAAGCTTCAATGATTATAAGTCAATATTTGTTGAGAACTTATTTAATAATTGAAATAATAACAAAAATCATATTCAATATTTTTAATTGAGCTCTAAAATATTATCAAATAAATCATAATGATTTGTTAAAAATTTTAATATCTATGAAAGTTCACTCAAATTTGCAGAATTGAACAGCATTGTGATAATTATATATGAAAAAAATTTCAGTTGAAAAAACTAAATGGAAGGTATCAAAAATACCACTCCATTTCAAAGAAGCTCTAGCAAATACAGTGAAATCATAAGCTCATTTTGATCTTTCTACAAACGACAACATCAATAATAATACCTTACCTTATCCTGCAAGTAAGAGTTTTTAATTTTCTATAATATTCAAATATTCCATTTTGAAACATACAATTTCTAATATATTATATCTTTTTAGCCTTTAGTATTGATATGACCAAATCCAAGTGGAAGATGAATAGTTTCAACAAAGAAAATTATTAGCAGATTCCGGGTGATAAAATATGTTATCGAAAGAATGCAATACAAGTTTTGTTTTAATAATTGATGAAATGAAATCTTTTGTGAAGTGTATGCTAAATAAGCTAAAAATTTTATGTAAAAGCTTAAGCGTAAAATTGTTTAGTAATATGATGTTCGAATAATTTGATGATTTTTATAAACGCATGAAATCTGTCACATAAATTTTATAATCGATCATTTATTTTCAAAAGCAAACCACCGGCAGTCAATTAAGCCTACAAAAGCGCATTCTTCAAAATGGAAAGTTTCTCTGGCGAATCGACACAATGGAACCTCTTGAAAAGGGTCGAAGGAACGATCTGTAGGTAAACAAGGATAAAGCTTGCCTAGTAGAAAAACGCAACCACAAATGCCTCATTACCAGTCTTAGCCACACCCTTTGACTAATAAGCCAGTGGCAGTATGTTGACGCTTCGGAGGCATCAAGCAGCCAAGCTAAACACTGACAAATTATCCCTGGCTTTCTCTCTCAGCGATGATAAATGCAAAGGCCTGTCAATCCTCGGCTCTGCGGACGCAAACAAAAGAGCTGTGCGTGCGCAGGTAGGCGCCACCTGCAGTGGCTTAAGGATAAGGCTATTCCATTAGAGGGTTCGGCGCGCGCCAACCGCAAGACGCCGCAGCGTCCGTCCGTCAGTTTCTCGTCATAAACGACCTCCTCGACACATGACGGATGGCCGCGCGCTGCATATACACGCCTCGCTGCTACTGCTGCTGCTGGGATATTAATTTGGTAATTTATGGGGGCCCGATTAAGCTAATGCGCGAAATGTTGGCAGGTCATCGCGCAGGACACCTTACCACCGGCACCACCACCACCACCACCACCACCACCACCACCAGCAGCGCCTCGCTTCTATTGTGCGCGTCTGTGTGTGTATACGCGTATTGTCCACCGCTGACTTGCCGCTCTGAGAGCGACGTATAAGCGCGCGCTGCTGCTAGCACTGCATTGAAATTGACGTGGGACGACCGCGACGAAATTAACGGCGCTGTGTTTTGCTGCCAGCTCGCGAACTTGATCGATTTATACGCTTTCGCGCCGCGAGGCGTCAACCGCAATATGGTCATCGGCGCTCTCTTCCCCCCTCCCTCCCCTCCTTTCTCGGTGTCTTTAAGATCTTCGATGCATTTTCCGGACTGAATTATTTCCGTATACCTTGCTGTAAAACCGGAAACAAACGTTTACGATGTTCCACAGCTGCGAAGTTTGTTTGCGTGGTGGCGAATTTCATCGATGACTCGCTGATTCCAAGTTATCGCGCACTAAAGTTTCTAAACATATATTTTATGTTGACGCTCTGGCAAACTTGCGCATATACGAAATAGTACTAAACACTCGAATAAATGTAGTTATAAAAGGCACATTACACGGGCCGCGCGCTTGGTGTGAGAAAATCATAAGCTAACGTTCGGCAAGTGAAAGTTTCAACTCGTCGTTTCGCCGCCAGCCGGGTAATATTCTGATAACTGTTTGACGATAATGTTAAAAGTGTGAGTTAAACGTGTCGAACGATAAATGATCGATCGATTTAATTAAGATTAAGCTAATAATTAGCTGTAGCCTGTAGTTAAACGTAAAAAGAAAAGAGAAAAATGAGCTTTTCATTACTATCGCGCGTTCAATTAACTTCCTAACGATTTCACAAATACGACAGCCTTCGCGAATAACATTATATACCCGCATACGCATAGATTCTTTCGTAAACTCTCGCGCAAATTAATTAATCCCCGTATAATGTAGTCGGTAAAAAATGCCACTTTACCATCAATTATCGAGCGGCTACCATTCTTACATAGGCGGACGCAAAAGGCAAAAGACACGTTTAGCTGCAGCGAGTCGGTCATCAATATTATCAAGACGCCGCTGTTGCTGCCCCTTAATGCAGGCGCGCGCGTGTTTGACGAGAGTCATTCATCCTCATCCCACACCTACGCGCAGACACAAGGTGAGCGGTGGCGCGCGGGAGGCGCGTTCATCTATCAAAACGACGAGGTCACCGCTGTGGGGCCCTAGGTCGACACTCTGCCGCGCGTGTTACGCGCCAACACTAAATACACAATTATACCGAAAAACAAGTCTCGACGCGTTACTCCTGCTTTTTCTATGTATACGATAGCGCATAATGTAAAAATTAGTTTGCCTCGGTAAAATGCTAAATGTTTTCAAGTTTATAGCGATTATATGTGTATGCAAACGTCCTTTCTGGTTGTCAACGGAAGCGTTGGTGCTTTGTCTGTTTTAGGTTAGCACTCACGTGAGTTCCGAGCATGGGATATTTAATGCAGACGAACTGCGACTTACCTGAAACAAAAATCAGAAAGAATTGGTTTATTATCGGCGTAAATTTGGAGCACGAATATAATTTGTTGCACTTTAAGCCGTCGGGACGTGAATGCATTTAAAAACTTTACTAATTAAAGTTACACTTAGCATTCAAGCTTTTCATCGAACGTTGTTATCACGCCAAATCTGATCTGTAAAGCGGAATCCGTCCAAAAGCTCTTTCGCACTGTTTAAGCATAGTCGTTAGCTTCTGTCGAATCGTCTGCACACGTGAGTGTTGGCATTAACGAGCTCATATAACAGCAGGATATCATGTGTTAATGCTCGTTGATCCCGTAAATAGATTCCGCTAGGCATTTCTCGAAAAGAAAATTTTGTCAGCACCGGCAACGAATCGAAATCCCGCGAGCTAGGCTTTCTTATCCGTCTTCGCGCGATAAATAAGCCCATTTCAAAATTCTACGCATCTTAATTCTGAAGGTGTAGGAATACACCATAAGCAACTGCTTCATCGGGCGATCATTTCCCGCTGACTCTTTCTTTCTCTCTCTCTCTCTCTTCCTCCCTCTCTCTCTCTCTCTCGTCGTAATTCATGAAAAAGAGGGAAAAAACGATACCGCCCTTCTTAGCTTACTCGTAATACGTGTGTGTGCATGTGTGTGTGCGAGAGACCGGCCGGCCGGCTGCTAATTATAGCCTCCTATTTATTTTATTTACGCGAACGAGTGTGCGTCTGTGTATGTGTGCGCGCGCGTGCGCGTGTGTATGTGTGCGTGCGCGCCCGCGTGTGTGAGCAGTGGAGCTCGTTCGCGCTGTGCTGTCATAAATCAAAATTCCATTTCAACGTTTTAACGAAGGATCAAATAAAACACTTTAATTGACGTTTTTACGGCGCTCGGCAGCCGAACTCTTGCCCGAACGACGTTGCTGACCCTACTATACGCCTTCTCTTTCTGCGTTTTACCGGTGTTGTATAAGGCCGACACCGCCGCAACGGTTTTGCTCGCGCTGTTGAACGATTGCTTACCGACGATGGCCCGTAGTTTTTGGATTTTTGTACAAGACGATATAGCTACGATGTATATTATAGGAGAACGATTTCAATGTTGTCGAACATTTTTTTCAAGTTTGTGGATATTTGTCAATTACGTTTCGTATTTTGCAGCTTATCCTTTTTAGTGAATATTTTCCTTTTTTAAAGTTTTGTCGGCGAAATTAAATAACACGGTATTAGTGAGCTTGAGATAATTTAAATGAAATTTCAAATAAATTTAATGATACATCTTTTTGTTGCTTAAAACTAACTGCTCGACATTAAACGTCCGTACTTGTAAACATTTAGCTAATAGCTCATCAAAGCTCAAGAAAAATTATAAAAATCTTATAAAAAAAAATACGCACGTAGGTTTATCCAATCAATTCGAGCGAACAGCAATAGCGGAAATCTTCCGAAATTCCGGTAAATTCGGCGAAGGCAAGGCGAAGGTAACATTATTTTGCATAAACGCAGCGTAAACCCGACTGCCTCTCCCTCCACAAACGAAAGGGAATCGTAGAAGCGCGAAAAGCTCGGACGTGCCTTAGTCGCGCGCCGCTGCTTACGTATTCCTTGCGAGCTATCTTGAATGTAGAAAAGGGAGGGTGGGTTCGCGCGCTCACCCTCTTCTCGCAGAAAGGAGAGAGAGAGAGAGAGAGAGAGAGTCGCTTCTTCTCGAGTGCCGACGCAAATCCCAAAGGTTGAGTTAGCACCGAGAGTGCTTTGCGTGGGATGCTGCTGCTTCTGCTCCCCCCCCCCTTCTTCCTTTCTATCTGGCCCAGCAAATCTTCGCCCATTAAGCGCGTTTACTTTCGTATTTATTATTGTCTTGTTTTATTCCCGCTAGTTTGTACCTTATTTATAAGTGCGTGATACCATATTTCTTTTCCCCTCTCTCTTCTTCGTTATTTCATTGAAAAAGAAGCTCGTGGAATTGATTTAACGTAGCATAGAAGGTCCACGTCAAGCATATTTTATTGCGGAAATGATGAGTCTTTATAATTGTATGAGTGCTATTGATTTATTGCCTGCTCGCGTACTGCAGCACTTGGCGGCTAATGAGAAATTGAGAAAATAAATTTCATACTTTTGACAGTTTATTGATGAACATTATCACGATTGAGAAATTTGCCAATAATCGAAGGAAGTGTGAAACGTGAAAAAAGCATGCACGTGAATAAAAACTATGATTTCTCTCTTGGACTGACTGTTCTGCGGCTTTCTTTTCGTATATGATGTCGATGCTAAGTGTAAATAAATTGACACTTCCGGATAGAAAGAAATTTTATGATACAGCTCCAGGTTTATCGGACGATCATATTTTTATATGGTTTATATAAATAAATGTTTATTTCCGAATGAATATAATAAAAATAATCAAGTTTATTTTACACAATACATTTTTCATGTATTAAAAAAGTTATAATTCAAACGCACGAAGATCCAATCACACGACCATTTAACTCCGCAGCGACTTCTCCTTAAAATTAACTTTTAAACAACAAGAAAAAAAAAAGGAAGTATATACATTGAACTGGAGAGAGAAAAAAAGTAATTGAAGTTGCTAGCGGCATTATAAAATGGCCTGAGAAACCGAGCGAATCCATCACCCGCAGCTCAAACGTCCATCTCTCGCGTTCGCTTCGACTCGAGACTCGCTGTTGTCGACCTTGAAAGCCTCGAGGCGCCTCGATCGTGTATATATATATAACTATATACACTGCCGCAGGCCTCTCACTTCGTCTTTCGATCCATCTCGTTTGCCCCATTGAGGTAGATCGCTTGAATCCGGTCGCAATTATGGCGGCGCATATACGAGTCTCCACCTTCT